CAGAATCCTGCCCTCCGCTGGCCTAATAAAAATCACCACAGCCATCTGAGGCCAATACTGGAAGCTGTTGTAGCCTTCTCAGTCCCTGGATATAGTCATGAATAGAGCTGAGCGAATAATAGATGGTGGTACTGAGAAATCCAGGAAAAAAAGTTAGTTTGGAACCAAAACTGAAATGTTTTCCTTTGGGTTTATTTTTCTTGACAAAACAAAAAAGGAATTTGTGCAGGTTAAAAAAATGTCATTTTGAAAATGCCAATATCAAAATGAGGACTTGTGGCACCTTAGAGACTAACAAATTTATTTGAGCATAAGCTTTCGTGAGCTACGTTCTTGTTAACTGCTGGAAATGGCCCAGCTTGATTATCACTACAAAAGGTTTTTCCCTCCACACTCTCCTGCTGGTAGTAGCTCACCTTACCTGATCACTCTCGTTACAGTCTGTACGGTAACAACCATTGTTTCATGTTCTCTGTGTATATAAATCTCCCCGCTGTATTTTCCACTGAATGCATCCGATGAAGTGGGCTGTAGCTCATGAAAGCTTATGCTCAAATAAATTGGTTAGTCTCTAAGGTGCCACGAGTCCTCCTTTTCTTTTTGTGGATACAGACTAACACGGCTGCTACTCTGAAAAATATCAAAATGGTTCATTTCTATCTTTTTAATTTTTCCCCCTCTGCTTTTCATTCAGACAAAACTATTTGCCAAACTCAACCTGAATTCGCAAAGAGTTTTGTTTGCCCCCAAACTGCATTTTTGTGTGTGGCAAATTTACTATTCACTAAAATAAATTCACCCAGCAATAGTCACGAATCTACTGGGCTTGTGTCTCACCCTGTCCTCAGCACATCCATCACCACCTGGTGGTGAGAAGAGAAAACCCATTCTCCTTTACATGGCTGGAACCAGCCTTCCTTCCCTTCTTGCATCACAAAAGCTCCCATGTTAGCAGAACATGCTTGGCTGGCCTGATGGCCCATGGCTGCATAATGCCCTGCTACGTAAATCAGTGTGCTTTGCTAAGTTTGCTATGCCACTGCAGAACGTGTGATGAAGACACTCTAGAAGAAAGCTCTCCCATCGGCAAAATAACACCCCCTCTGTGATTGGCACAAGCTCTCCAGCCAACACGGTGCTGCCCACACCGACGCTTTTGTCGATGTGACTTATGTCGCTCGGGGGGGGGGGTGGTTTACTCCCATCCCTGAGTGACGTAGGTTATGCCAACAAAAGATGTAGTATAGACATTCCCTTAGACACTTTTCAAATTTTTACCCTTATTCTTACTTAAAAAAAAAAAAAAAAGCTGACACTCTGGTGATCAATGGAATGGTCTATTTGCACCACCCTAGCTCATCCGTCAGCCCCACTAGAGGCATGCCCCCCCACACACACACTATGGAAAACACTACACTACAAATCCTTTTGTCCTTCAAATCATACACCATAATCGCCCAAACTAAGTGCTCATAAAAAGCTTCTGGTATCAGAGAACTTTTGTTTGTAAGAAAAACAAGTTCCGGGAAAGTTTAAGACATCTACCCAAGGTTAAATTTTATATTCACTTGTAAACTGAAAGCATCAGTAAAAACCACATCTGGGCATATGGGGCTGAGACAGAGAACTAGGGACTGAAATATGTAATTGACAAAATTCTCTGCAAAACTGTATTCCATTTGTACAAGCTCCAGCTCGAAATTCTACAGAGGCAGCGCTACAGAGATAGATATTAATGTTCCCTCAGCTTTATTGATACAATTGTTCAACACTACGTTGAACGGAAATACTCTTTACAGTGTTACCTGCCCCCCATCCCCACCCTATAACCTCTTGAACAATCATGTAAGAACATGGAAAGCCTTTCTTTCCGGAGTGGAACTGATCTTGGCTACCGTAGAAAGAGAGTGAGCGAGCTGCCTTGACAAGAACTGATAAAATGCAATTTAAAGCTCACGTGGGAAGGAAAATAGGAAACATACGTTTGAAAAACCCTTCATTCTCCCAATCTGTGCCACTGTACAGCCCTCAGCAGAGATTAACTATTTTCTGAATGTCCATTACGCTTTACCTAATATTTGCAACAGGAAGAATGCCCCAGTTTGATATTATTTCAGGTCCGTTTCTTACACACCCTGTTCCCATTTTTGCTCTCTCTACTCTTCTACCATTGGCATCCTTTCTCTGTCTTCCCGCAGTCCTGCTAGTGTTGTTGCAAGATCCTTCCCCTCTCCAGCTCATGCCATCTGGAGCAGCCTTCCTGTATCACACCAACACACTCCCAGTTTCATTTGAACACGCATCTCTCATCCCTCGCCGGTTCCTTTGAATTTCTCTCTCCTTCTGCTGCTGTTTATTATTTAACTCTGTCATTGTATTATTTAAACTGTGCTGGGAACAGAATCTGGATGAAAGCGCCATTAATATAGGAAGCTGGGCCTTCGGCAAAAATATCATGCAAGCCAAAATCGTGACAGTTGGAGAATGAGAGATTGGATGGATAGTGTGGCAAAGCAGTTTCTGGAAGCCAAAAATGTATCTTCTGCCTCCGCACCTGATATAAAAAACTTCTCAGAGGTGCCTCTTGACATGCTGATTCTATGGTGTGGTGCCCCAGGCCTTCAGCTAACAGCCTACACAAGATAACCTTCTAGTGGCTAAGTTAACACCTTCAACTGCCTTGGCCCACTTATAGCTTTTGAATGGACATAGCAAGGCTGCAGCTACTCTCAACTTTCTTTAGATACTTGAGGGGATTTTCCAAAAATGTCAACATGCAAAAATCACTACACATCTCCACGTCTTTCCCTTTTGCGAGAAAGTTAAAAGTCTGCATTAGTGGGATGTTGAGAGTGCATTTAGACCCCAGTTCAGCAAGGCACTTCATCATGTGCATTACTTTAAGCATGTGCTTAAGGCCCACTGAACTTCAGCATGTACTTAAATACTTTGTTGTACTGGGATGGGACTTAATACTGCTTAAATATTTTGATAAATCAAGGCTCTGATATCTGAGTAGGTAAAATAAGCAAAGGAAACATGCCACACATGTGAGTTGCGCTCTCCTACATTCTTCTGCTGGTTTACTCTTCTGAGAACAAGCAGTCAAATTGCTGAGGCACATTTTAGACAAATGTTACCTGCTCAGAAAGAAGAGGGATACATTTTTGTATGCAAAATGAAAATGTGTGTTCGCCAGTCTTAGATGTGGCCTCATGGATAGGTCAATGAACTAGAACTCAGGAGACCAGGGTTCAATTTGTGGGTCTGCCATTGCTATGCTGGGTGAGTCATGGCCCCTCCCCGTGCCTCAGTTTCCCCATCTAATAAAGATATTACCCTCTTTTGCAAAGTGCTTGCAGATCTATGAATGAAAAGCATTATGTAAGAGCTAGGAATTATTATTACAAGCTTTAACAATACATACAATGTTTTACATGCTCGGAAGCACACATGCAATTCAGTCAAATCTTTGTTGCCCATAGATAACTCCCCAGACTATTTCTCACAGCTTGTATAGCATCTGTCACCTGAGAATCACAAAACTCTTAATTAATTCTCACAGGAGTCCTGTGAGGAAGAGAAGCATTATTATTTTCCTCATTGGATAAGCAAAGTAAACCACAGCACAAAAGAATTAAAGTCAGTGGCAAATATAGAGTCCACAGCAGTGCCAGACATAGAACCCAGAATTCCCCTGCTTCGTCTCATGAGGCAAGGCTAGCCACAGGCATATACTGTTTGGTAAGAAGAGCTAGAGCTTTTTCCCCTTTGTACTAGTCAAGCTCTTTGATAAGTGACTCACCTGTGGGGCTCGGTGGAGGCTGTAGAAGAACAATAATGATTTTCTGCAAAGTCCCGGAACTTCTTAATGTTTCTTCAAACACTGTTTCCCTCTCAGATATGTCATAATTCATTGCTGGTTCATCAACACTGAGTACTTACTCTGATGAATGAATGGTGGAAATACAGAGCTAACATTTTCAAGCTTGTTCCTATCATCCCACCATGTATCATAAACAAGTTTGAAACCACTCAAATATGGCAGACTGCATGTCTGCAGGAACTAGTAACAAGAGACAAAGCCTTTTAGAGTTAGGGTGTCAGTTTCCACAAGGACTAGGCTTGATAGTGACCAAAAGCTGTTAGGCCACACAAAAGCACTCAGTTGCTATGTGAAATCACTGCTCATCTCATAGTAGCAGAGAAATACTGGATACAGTGGTCCATCTAGTCCAATAGTCCTGTCTCAAACAGCAGGCCTGGGGAAGGGGCAAGAAACCCTGCAGGAGGCAGTTATGAAATAATATGTCCACAGGGAAAGGTTATATCTAACTCCCAATGGTTAGAGGATTGCTTATGTCCTGAAGCACTAACATTTATATCCCCTCCAAAATTTGGGGGTGGGCGTGTGTGTGGGGGGGGAGAGGGGGGGAAGGGAAGTAATCCTTACTATAACAACTCAGCATAACCTTGTCATCATACAAAAATCCAATCCTTTTTGGAAGCCTGCACAGCTCAGTACAGTTATCAAGTTTACAGGCACTGGTTGACACCTTAGACAGGAGTCTCAGCACCAAGGACTGAATTCACATGGAACGTGCGCTATCATCTTACCCTGATAGGGCAGGGTTGAGGCACATTGATGGGTCAGCGTGGGAGCAGCTTGCAAATGGCACTGCCAGTCTACTTGTTCTGTGATAAACAGAGGGTTTCATTATCCCCAGACTTGGATCCCAAATTGTTTGATCTATTGTATCTCATAGAACACACATAAGCACCAATGCGATATGATCAGCATTCTGTACATTTGATTAACTTCAGCTCGCCAGCTCCACCAATACACTATGGTCTTATCTGGCTCATAAACAGAACTGAATAACCTTTAAACAATTGTTCAATTTCAGCAAAATATTTCATGCTTCAAACCATTTCATTGTTTCTTGAGATAATGATATTTGCTCACTGATGTTGCTTTAAGAAGAAAAAAGCTTACTTACCTGCCAGAATATGCTATCTATTGTATTTCCAAGAAAACCATCTCTCCCTTCTGAAGATACCAGCTTAGGTCCAAGAATGGTCATAAATTCATCAAAATCAACCTGGCCATCCCCTAGAATGAGAGAGAAACTATCAATCAATCTTAGTTGATTGCTATCTCAAAGGTCGTTCAAAAGTCCATGTGCCACCCTGGATTGCTCTGCCCCCTGGAAAGAAAACAAGTTATGAACCAGTGAGTGCATACATCTAGACACCATGATCACCAGCAAAATCACATCTATGGTGCCTGGGGAACAGCTCTCATTTCCATTCTTATTAATGGTTTAATATTATATTACTAGCCAAAGAGCAGTCAAGATCAGGGCCCCATTGTGGTAGGTGCTGTACAAAAAAAAGATGAAAAGGCTGTCCCCATGCCCTGCTGAGGTTACAAGCAAGTCACTTCTAAAAACCAGAGGCTCTCAAGCATTTCAGCAAGATAGCAACCTCCATTAGCTGTAGGAGGGAGGCAGCGTGGCAGCACTGGACTGGACTCAGGAGACTTGGGATCTGTTCCTAGTTCTGCCACTGGTTTGCTAGGTGACTTTGGTCCCATCACATCATCTCCCTGTGCCACAAATTCCCCATCTGTAAAAAGTGGGGATAATTATACTGATCTCCCTTGTAAAGTGCTTTGAGATCTGCAAAGGAAAGAGCTCTGTGTAAGAGGTAGGTATTAATTTATTTATTATTATTATCATCCTGTTTGTAAATCAGCCTGCAGAGAGTGAAATCTTCCCAAACTCTTAGGCAGGTCCAATTACATCCTGCAGTGGAGGTTACCATACAAAGAACAGCCAGGCAATAAAGTAACCACAAGGCAATTCTTATCTGCTTTCATCAATGTGTATCTCCTGAAAGTTCTGTGTAGTCTGCATGCAGAGAAGACAGCATAGACACAGATCCAGTGTCGTTAGCAGAAAGAGGAGACTGCTCGTGCCACTAATGAACTCAGCCTGTGCAGTCCCATGACCCTGCAGTATACTGTCTGTTTTGTAAATGATGTGGCACTTGACGCTGTTTGTCATGCATCCAAGTATTAATTATCTCCTTGGAGGACTTTACAGAAGGATTAATAAAAAATGACAAGAAAGAAAGAGAGCACTTCTGTAGTGGTTAAGGAATCTTTCAAATACTTTGCTTTTCCAGGCTTTAAAAAGGTGAGTACAATGCACATCTGCCTTTTCGTGCTTTTCTGCCCCCTATCACCACAGTACCAGAGCACCTCGCAATCTTTTAATGCATTTATTCTCACATCACCTCTGTGAGGGAAGAGCTGTTGTCATTTGACAGTTTGGGAATGGAGGCATAGAAAGATTAAGAGACTTGCCTAGGGCCACATATTGAGACCAGGGCCACATTAGAAACATTTGCGGATATAGCAGTGTCATGTAATGGGTGTGATTTTTATGACAAGCTCTAATATAGGTGCAGTTATGCCAGCAGGAAACTCTTTTGCCCGTATAGCTTATGTTATCCAGGGAGCCGCTACAGGTACTCTACAAGCAAAAAGCACTCTTTTGCCAGTATAAACTGGCTACATCAGGAGGGCTTTCTAGTGCTGTTCTAGTGTAGACGTGGCATTAGCTGAACCCAGGTCTCCCATGTCTCAAGCTAGCACCCTGATCATTGGGACCTTCCTGCTTCTCTCCCAATCCTGCGCCCATTTGCACCCTGCACACAATGGGAACAGATTGGCCCCACAGGAGCTTGTGTGGGTGTTGTTCTTAAATTATAAAGAATTAATCACTACTAAAAGATCAGACTAGAGCAGCTCCGGACAGTGGTCATTAGCAAAAAGCCAGCGTTAACCAGGGTATCTTAGATACTGCGGTGTGTGGTTACTTCTGAGTAAATACTGATTAATGACAACACCTCCATTTGCAGGTACGTGTGTGTTTTGTGGGCTGTAGGTATTTGCCCTTTTCAGTGTAACTAAGATAATTGTTTGCTGTTCTCCATTTGTACGTACGCCTCATTTGTTGAAATCTATATAAACTAAATTCTTATCCGAGCAAAAAAACTGTGTCAAATAAGCTGAGCAGAGATTATTCCCTTTCCAGACTGATGATCTTTACCCACTCAAGAGTGCAGTCAATAATTTTCAGGAAGACACGCAGAGATGGGAAGAACATTCTGAGGGGGAAGCAACAAGCATTGCTCTGAAGAACGTAGCAGGGATCCAGAACAGGCTCAATCCTGCCAGCTGCTGAGCAGTCTTGCCCCAAATCAGCAAGGAACTTCAGTTTGCGCGTAGCTTCATTCATATTATTGGGAATGATCCTCACACACTTACAGCTAAGCACGTGCTTAATGCTTGGCTGGATCAGGGCCAGAGCACTCAGCAACTTATAGGATTCAGTCCCATGATAGAAGAGTCAATGCCAACATTCATTTTATGAATAGTCTGGTAAGGGCGAGGTGGGGGTGAGGGGCATAGGGACCCCACATCTTTGAGAGCAGATTTTTAAAATATTCATAGGCAGAGAGACGGCGCTTTTTTTGCTTCCCTGTGGGAGACAGAAGCTTGTGACATTAAGTCAGACTGTATCAATCACATCACACTGGACCATGTTGTGGAATGCAATGCAAGATGACAGTGAATTCAAAATGATGTACACTGCAGTGCCTTGCTTAGAAGGAAAGGCAGGAATGGAAACACACACTACCTTACAAACTGGGTTAAAGATATTAGCCAGATTATCAAGAAAACAATTTGCATTTTAAATAGCTACTAGTACCTGACCACACATATATTTGCTTCTGGACGTCTGACCCCAATATATTGAATTATCCACATGACATTTTCTACTAGAGACAGTGTCATTTCATTTACTAAGAAGAGAAGCAGGGAGTGCCACATAATAGAACAAGCGTCAGGACTCCTGGGCTCACTTTCTGACTTACTAGAACTTTGGCCAAGTCATTTATAGTCACAACTCTGTGCCTCAGTTTACCCATCTAAACATAACTACTACTTCAACAAGGCTGTTCTGGGGCTGAATTAATTGAAATTTGTACAATGTTTTGAAAACCTCCAATGAAAGATGCCACAAAAGTACAACGATATTTTATTTTCTTATTTGCTGCACTTTCAGTTAAAACTGGTGACTAGCATATGACCTAAGCAGAACCAGGATTTTACATAACAGAAAAGGTCCCTTTGACATTTATTTTAAGTATAACAAAATAAACACTTCCCACCATCAGACTCACCAGAGATTCTGTATCAGAGATAGAAATTACAATTTAAACCAAGAACTCCTTTTACGGTATTCAACAGTCAACAGAAAAATCCTTAAATACCAGTGTACGGATCATGGGAAAATGAACATAAAGGGCTACTTTCTGTCCTCAAGTATACCCCATGTAATACCGCTGTAATTGCGAAATTAAAATCAATGGGGTTTCTCTCAGGTATAAGACGCTGTAAAGGGATGATGCTGAATGAATTTAGCTCCCCCTCAGATCAGCAGGAGTTAAGATCAGCTCAGAGGACCGCTCAGCATCTTGAAGGATCAGGCCTTAATTGAAGGCAGAATTTGATCCATAGTTGCTCTTTTTGCTCACACCCTTAACAATCTCAGCTAGGCACAAATCTCATTCAATTATAATCTATGATGCATTCAATCACAGTCAGTACCTATACCATGTCTATAGAAATCCTTCTTGGCAGAGATTATTAGATATTCAGAGCAATCGAACGCTGTCTTATTCAGAAATTGTAGGTTTTAGCAGAGATGGGGCCAAGATGCGAAGTTTGGAACAATCCCAGGCATTTGGGGGTGTTTGGATTTGATGGCACTCTTCAGCCATTAGACAGATAGACCTGAGTCACACAAATATGAATCCAAACTTCTTCAGGTTTGGGTGGGCTTGAATCCCATGTTCTGGTCTAAGCCCACCTCCAGCTTTATTAGCACATATTTTGTGTGTCATGCCCAATTCCTGCAGTTCTCTCTATGCCAAGAGATTTCCAATGTGTACACCGTCCACCTTCTACAGTCTCCCCTTCCTTCAACGTGCAATTTTACGTTAATTACATTAGCAAATCCTCTTCGCATTCAAGGAACTACCGTCAAGGGCAATTTGACCAAGGAGGCAATCGAACGTAAATTTAACAGCAGGCATAGGGAGTGAGAAGATGCAAATCTGTTGCTTGTTCAGCTCAGATATTCCATTTCCCTTGTAGTGATGTAGAGCCGGTATTCTCTCTTCCCTGCTCTCATCAGGTATAAATGAGGAATAGGTTTATAAACCTGACCCATACTGTGCTCACTGCCCCGACTGATTATGACAATCAAACCCTACTATGACTTATTTATAAACCCAGGGTGCCTGGATACTAGTGCAGCCGCAAAAAGCTCCTAACTAGTCGGTCAGACTGCAGGACTGCAACCACGGCCATGTGAGAAGCAGAGTTGAAATAAGGTAATACGCAACATGGAAGGTCCTCACTGTATAATATTCTTCCCTAGAGCCAGTCCACTGGCTTCCCTTTGTCTACCTAATAGAGGATTTTTCGAAGAGTTGCTCTGAGGATTTTTCTACCCAATCCCCTATAATACAACCCACTAACTGTCTTCCATTAAGGTCAAAGTGGAAGATGGGCTGGAAACTGTACAGCTAAAACCTTCCATAACAATGAAAATACACCCCTGAACACGTTGTTGCAGTGTAAAATTAATGGGATGAAATAGACCCTGTTGTTGTTATGGTCTCTCCTCAATGCACAGGAGACACTATTCTAGCAAACAGATGTATCAAGTTACTTGCTTTCTTCCTTGCTGCTTAGTTCCCCCACAGCCCTAGGCAGTCTTGCCCTGCTTTAAGAAGACCAAACATAGCACATGGCCATTATCCTTTCATTGTTTGGGTTTGGTTGAGCCCTAATGACAACGAAGAACCTGCTTTACTCCCATTTCCTGGAGTGGGATCACAAAAGGGAGACCAATTCTCTAGCAGTGAGAAATCACTCAGGGACAGTGAACTTTGCAAATGTAAATACATTTTCAGGCACAGATTTTGATGCTAAATTAGCGTGCAGGGGAACACTTCCTGAAAAACCCTGGC